ACCCCCCCCCCAAAATGGAGGGAGGTGATCTCTGATGCAAACACACCAATTCCCACCATCCCATGACAGACTAAGTACCACGGAGCAGAGACTTCTTGTAGCCATGCAGAAGGAGATTTTGTAAAGACATTTTGGCAGCAGAGTTTGAAGACAGACCTTGTAGATGTTGATCTATGCAGGCGATTTGCTAGGGTGCCCCAGCGGCTCCCAAAGCAGGACTCACAAAGGGAACTGTGAAGAGTTCAGCACTACAGGAGACTGTCCTCCCACAGGAGGGAGAGAAAGGAAAGTGTCACGAACATTAAGGTTTTAACTTTAACCACGTTCCTGGAGGAGGGGATGGGAAACACAGCAGAGACCTGTTTGGTGGTATATGGGCTGCCCTGACCATAGCCCAAGTATCTGGCCAGGTGAGCTGCACTATGCAGGTGTAGCCTGGGTTAGAGAAAATCCTTCTGCTGGGTCCCCATGCTGGACCAGCCACTGAACAGAGCTGCAAGTTGCTGAGGAAACCCTGGCAGGAGAACAGCAGCTTGGAGACATCTCCCAGGTGTGTTCTCAGCTGGAGGTTTAAAAGCTGCCAGCCATACTGGAGCCCTCAGATGGCAGAGGACAAGCACACATATGTTCCATGCCCTCATCACCCCCTTCAGAGCCTAGAAACAGAGCCTGGCAAACAGGCATCTGTAAAGACACAGGCTAGCACCCACCAAAACACCCTGGGATTTCCCTCTGTTACATGGCCAGGGTTAAGGGAAAGGGTGGCCAGAAAGCACTGAAATAGCAGTCGTACATGGCTAGGTGAGAACCAGAGCCTGCTGCTGAAGCAAAAAAACAAAGGATAGCAACCCCAGACATCACTGTAAGTGTTCAGATGCCTTGGCTTCTCATTTGATCCAAAAGCCCAGCAAAGAAGGATCAACAGCAGGGAGGCATCTGCCTGCAGTGGAGCACAGGGACAAAGGAGCACCCATCCCCTGCCATCAGCACAGAGCCCACAGCCCAGCTGGGCTCAGCTATCACCCCAAGTGAAAGGTACTAAGTTGAAACTTAGCATAAGGATTTTGGCTTTTGACAATAGAGTAGTTGTGCTAAGTTTCTCTCATCCTCTGAAAATGACGTGAGAGCAAGTCATGACAAATAATGTGCTGGGTAACACAAACAGCAATATTATCTCATTTGACCAGGTACAGACAAACACCATAATTTAAGTGCCCATTTGTTTTATGCAAAGCTCACGCCATGTTCTAAATCACACCTATCGTATTGCCACACAGCCACTCACATCATTTAACCGCTTGAATGCGGCGATCAGAATGTACAAGATAACAGGAGGGAAGAAGGAATGGAGTGGAGGGTGGACAAGGAAAGTCACATAGCAATGCCCAAGCCCCACGTCAGCTCCTGCCAATGAGCCAGCAACAAGCACTGGAGGAAAGGTACAGGTTGGGGTGGCTCAGACAGTTGTCTGTCCCACCCTACCTGCAGGCAGTACCCTGTGAACTGGAGGCTTCCCAGGACTTGATGGGTACGTGGAGCTCAGCAGGTCACACAAAAATGGTGTGGCTTGGGGGAACTGGAAGATGTGACCATATAGGCCAGCCTGGCATCCAGGAGAGAAAAGAAAACCTTCAGAACTGGCTCTAGAGCTCACCTGTCTGCAGCTCTGTGCCTACAAAAGCTGGCTTTGAATTTGGCCCTTGCCTAAAGAGTGTCCAAGATGAGCAGGATGAATCCTCTCGGGATGTGTCTATCTCCACTGATAACAAAAGGAACCTAAATGGGTGGCCTAGACTAGCCTCATCATTGCCAGGTGGCCACAGTTTGGTGAGACAAATTCTCACCTTTGCATGTGGCAGTGACAAACTATTTCGAGCAGTTCAGCCCTACGCAGGGACCCCAGCAGCTGGGTTCAGGCTGTGCTGGGTTTGCTCTTCCCACCAGACTTGGCTCCCAGTCCTGGACCACCGAAGTGCATGTTTGGGAGTCCCAGGAGAGGTGCCCATACTGCCGGAAATCGCTGTTTGAAGAACTACTGATGTTGATTTCTGCTGAGTCTAAATCTCAGCTAGTAGAGGATTGGATTCCCAAACTGCACACTTTCAAGTGCTAGAACTCACTGGAACATACTACTAAATACAAGCCTCTGTACAAGCCGCTCAAAAATCATCTTCCTAATGATTTTTTTGGGGGTAGGCGACTCGATACTTTTCTTTAAAGCTCTTTCAGCTGCATTAGAGTCCCCTGCTGTACTCATGCCTTTCTTCCTGACCTGCCCACACATACAGAGAAAGTGCCAAAATTACAGCACAAGCCCAAAACCAGCAAAAACAGGATTAGCAACATCCTCACAGAGGCAAGAAAGTGTTAAACTCTGTTCTCAGGACTGAATGGATCAAGTTGCTAATTGCTAACAGCTGGCTGCAGGAGAATAAAATCCTGTTACAATCATTGTGAGAGTGGGGAAAAAAAAAAATCTACTTGCTGAAAAACTCACTAAGAAATGCAGAAGAGGGCAGTTTTTCCCAATATACCCAGCAGATACCATGTCTAAAAAGCCAATCCATCCCTCTGCAGAGAAACAGCTCTCTGTGACCCAGCACTGTCCCCAGCGCAGCATGGGGCCTGCAAGCAAAAGCGCTGGGCACAGTGGGCGCAGGAGGGAGCTATTCTTTAGTGATGTGCATGAAGAAGGTGGGACTTGGAGCTCCTCCAGGTACTGTTCTCCCTCCAGAGATCCATTACGGAGGCCTGGCATGTTTGCAAGCCTCTCTAGATCGCAACTGAAACAGGCATTTGTTTTAACTGGTTCCTTCGCAGATCATTACCTTGGAGTGGGACCTTAAGTTTTGCTGCAGAAATCCCATTACAGATGCCCAGCACGGCGCCAAGAAACTCCATGGTCATGATCAAGACTCATAGCTGTGTGTATGATGCACTCTGTATGTATTACAAGAGGATCTATCCTAAATCAAAGTATCCTCAGAAGAGCTTCAGGAACAGTCAGGAGGACTGGACAGTATCTCCTAGCATTCCTAAAGGAATTCAAGGAGGAAACAGCAAAGCTAGTAATTGGGACAATATCTGAAGCGTGAAGAAATGGAGGCTGGAAAGTGTGATTTCCATTTTTCTGGCTCCAGAATGATGGTGGAACATTTCTCTCTGCCTCAGAATTCATCTGAGATACCCCAAACCCAGCTGTCTTCCCCTGGAGCACAGACTTACAGCCCATGCAGCTCCAGTTTGGACCAAACAGAATCCACTGATGAAAATGCTTAGCAGAAAGGATTCTGATCACTTCTTAAAAAGTTTTGTTTAGTTTACAATTCAAATA